TTAACATTATGTAAGAAAATAAAATTCTAAGTATTAGCTACTAAGAACATTCTTCCGTTTTCCAGCTTCGTTTAATATTATATGAGAAAATAAAATATTAAATATTAACATGCCATACACTTCATGCTGTTGCTATATGATAGAAACCTCTTAGCACTTCTAATTATTACAACTTCGTTTTGTATTGATGAAATGAATGGATGTTATAGAACAAACCCAAGTGAAGTGGCAATAAAAAGTATATATATTCCTTATGTTTAGTTGTGATATTGACACCCTCTTTCTAAGAAAGTAAAATGTATCTTTTTCTAAAGTATAGCTCAGCAGATAAGATAGTACAACTTGTGTACTTCAAACTAATATAACAATGAAAATGGACCCTCTCTAGTTAATTTAATTTTAATAGTTTCGAACCAGTTGGCAGAAATTAATCAAATGATCAAGAAAGCTTTGGTGATTACCTGTCGAACAATGGTATTCAGAATGAGTAAAATTTGAACACACATTATCTCTGACTATGATGACCCGAAGAGAAAGCGGGAAAGTCGTGGTAGTCAAAAAGAATTTTTCTAGGTGCTGAATCTAAAAGAAGAAAGTATGACTTTTTGAACGTTAATCATCGATATTGAGAGCCACATATCTCAAAAATTTCGACTGAAAATTCGAAGTGTGACTGGAAAGAGGATTTTGTTGTAATGTTAAAATGAGAATCTTCCGAGTGTTCTTTGTTGTTGTTTACTTTCTTCTCTTTTTTGTAGTTTTCTAGAACTTCCACTCAGAGGACCAAAACTGATCATGAGTTAATTGTAAATAGAGGACTACATTATATGTACCTGTCTATGGGCACACTTCAGTTCTAGTGAGTTGCATGGGCATAAGATGTTTAAAAGCTACTTTCTAAACACTTTTCAGTTGGACCATTACTTAATGCAGATTTTTTTCTATGTATATTTGTTGTTTACATGTTTCAAATATTCTACTTGCTGGCGAAAGAAAACACGTAACGTTTTTCTAAAGTAAGTTTGAAAAAAATATTCGCTTCGTGGACAAAGCACCACAAAAAAACAACAAAGTGAATCTGTTTTTCTCACAAGGAAAGGTCCCAGTTCGCTTTTACCTTGAAATCGACTTCGTTGTACATAATTTTTGATGATATGAATCTGAATGCGATAAATTCAATACAGTTAAATCGAGTATCAACTGATATATACATAATAATACGATATATTTCTTGATACCATGAATAACTGATATATCGTGTATCTTCGATAATCAGCCACTCAATCCAAATGGAAATTATTATTGTTTATCCGATTTAAAAGAGCGTGAAGCAATCAAACGACTGTTTCCAGAAAGTGAATGAGAAGCCGACGCCGGACTTCATTAATCCGATATCTCAATTACACAAATGTTAAATTATAACGAGTTGTTTATATGCAACGATCATCATAAGCAATTAGTTGAAGCTTTCAATTTCAATAAATACAAAAAATGTTACACATGTGTTCCATGCGCTAAAAATTCTTAAACGCCTAGTGCAAAAATTGTAAACGGCTAGTGCTAAAGCAAAACCACATAAGGAGCAAATAGAGGTCTGCATTATTGGTACCTGTTCATGGAAACACTTCAATTTCGGTGAGTTGTCTATGCACGCGCATAAGATGTTCAAAAGCTTGCCAGATATTTTGAATAACGCTACGGCCCAAACAGTCGACATATATGCGAGATGTATACATTATCTTAGCAAGAAATTCTTCAGAATCACACACATAAGGAAGAGAAAGATCATCAAAAATGAAGGTAGCAAGAATAGTCTTCGGGAGATTATTCCACATCTAGCCATTTTGATTCACAATGGCTATCCTAGCATTCTACAGTTTTATGGGCAATGGATTTGTGTGAAATGTTTAAATTGATGGAAAGATGTTATTCATATCATAGAAACGATCATAGAAATTGTGTTATTATTCATTGCATTTAAAGATTTCACTACTATTACTCAAGATTTATTTAACAACACGTATGAGTCGAGCAATCGTATGGCGGAGCAAAAGTTCATTACAGTTATGGACGGTGTCAATAAAGTCTATAAAAATGCTGGAAATGGACACCTCGCCGAGAGATTTTATGTATTGTTGCGCCAAGAATTAAGTATGGTATATTACAGTCATTTTTTCCCGCAATAACCTTGCATAGATTTACGGCAGCAATCAAACATGCCACAGAACTTGAAACTGGCAACGCGGCTGTATTAGAGATATATAATGATTTTCAAATTGAACATTTTACAGGTTTTCTGTTGTCATCTCACCGTTGAACCCACTGGGATTTTGAATCAGAAAACAAGTGTTTAAAGCTGTAGATGGGGTGGGCGTTACCGAAAAAGAGTCAACAGACATGCCGGACGCAGAAGCAGAAAAATTTAAATATGGTTTATTACATAAAATTAGGTAGAAGCCGGAAGAAATGATGACAGAAATGCGCCAGAAACAGACAACAAACGGACGATTTGTATTCGCAATATATGAGTTTTTGCAGTCTCTTAGAGACTACAACATATCGAGAAAGACCCACTTCTCCATACAAGAGGCATGGATCTACTTCAGATGTTACACTAAAGCGACGCGCATCATCGGGAACAAGAAGAAATAAACTGAAAGAACAGAAAAATGACTGATAGGGGAGAGAAGCAAGGGAGGGAAAGTACCATTTCACCACTTCCGCTTAACTTGAAGTGAAATTGAAGTGATTTTTTATTGTTTCGACCGTTTCAGCATCGTTTTACCTAGATGAAGTGAAGTGAAATTAAGTGGTGAAGTGGTGCTGTTACCCCCTTGGGTTTATTCCACATGAGTGAGACATACTTAGTAGAACTCCTGTTTGTCTGCCCGGAACCGGCTTGACTCGGGCCAGGCTGGTCCGGATCGCTCTATTGTTTTCTCGAGCCGAGCAGGCTGTCTCAAAATATTTTTTAGGTCGAATTGACCAATGGTTTTTTCGGAGCAGCCCGGTCCGAGAAATTTTAAAAGTTTTCTCCATATTTTTAGCTAAATTTGGCTATTTCTTAGTAACAGTAGGTGTTACTCTTATTAGGGAATTCTGTTATCAAAAAACTACTTCTGTTTTCTTATAGCAAATAGCAAGACCTATCCTCGCACGAAATATAAGGTTTGTAAACATTGTCACACGTCTCAAGCGAAAGAATAAAGAAGATAAAACGAGAAGCATGATCTAAAATGTTTACTTTTTTGATTGTCAGCTCTGCAGAAAATCTAAATACGTGACTAAAACTACTGATGATTTCACTAGGGCTGTGACAGCTACCATTATCGTTACAGTAACTGTAATTGCTGGTCGGTTACCGTTCTTTGTAACGGTAACGTGCAAGCAGTTACCGTACAAGTAACGGTAACTGTTCAGTATATCTTTCAAGAGTCAAATCTCTAAATATATAGGTATCCAGGGTGAGGGTGAGGCTACGAACTTTCACCCTCACCCTGGATACCTAGATATTTAGAGATTTAACTCTTGAAAGATATACTGAACAGTTACCGTTATTTGTAACTGATCATTACCGTTACTTGTACGGTAACTGCTTATCCGTTACCGTTACCAGGAACGGGAACTGTTCAGCAGTTACCGTTACCGGGTAACGGTGGTAAAGGTAACTGGTAACTGTCACAGACCTAGATTTCACATCTAGTGAGGATGACATTTTTTGAAATTTCTTTTCAATCCTGCTTGTATATTTTCCTCGGTTAAAAGATGAGCCATTTTTGAAATTTGACTTTTATCTCTGTACGCTGTAGTATGTGGAATGCCCATTCGTTTAAAACTGTTCGCATTGGGTCAAAATAGCTGGGAAAAGACAAAATTTCACTACTTTTGCTTGGAGAGTAAAATGCCAATAACGTTTTTCCCGCAATAGCTACATACCTGCGGTTCTATCAGTAAATTCAGCGCAGTATGCAGTACAAAAGCCATTCTATCTCACCGCTGGTGCTGATAATCGATGTAATGGTAGAAGAAAATCTTCTATCACACTGGAACATATTTTATTGGGTGATACAGCCATTAGAGTGTTGGATATTGATGATTCATTTCGGATATCTAATTTTTAATGCATGATGATTAAACTTTTTATTACTGCGCTTATCTCTCTAAGTTAGCTCTCTCTTATAAAGTGGAATATATCCAGGCATAAAGTGGCATGTTCGATTTGCCTGTTCTTTTTTAATGTTATTAATAAACTTGGTTACAAAAAAACAATAAATTTATAGTGTGTCAATGTTGTTATCAATATTAGTGTCCTGTATTTACCATTTGAGATAAATATGAAAAAGTAAAAATGATGCTCGTTCAGATACAAAGAGGGAATAACAAAACGCGCGTTACACCAATGAATGTCACAAAATGCCTTTGTACACTCTGTTTTGACGAGGCATTCTGTTCTCACAAGGATGATAATATTTACCCAAATATCTTTGAGTTAACAATTGCATGTGTTCCTAATGGTATGACTGTTATTGGTATTCTTACGCCTATATTTTTATTTCTAATATTTGTCAATATTATTCTAACTCTACAAACGTGCTGCTGTAGGTCAATTCGTATAACTAACCTTGGTATGTACCACATATTGATGTGCATTTCGGGTTTGATTTATTTTGTTATGCTATTACTACTATTTTTTCTTGTCGTTTCATCCGTTCATGTATCAAGAAATATTAGCATATACGATTATCGTATCAGAAATGCAATAGAATACTATTGTTTGTGGCTGCTAAGTTTCATGGCTTGCGAGAGAATGGCCATCCAATGTTTCAACCAGTGGCGTCGCCAGAAAAATTTCGCTGAGGGGGCTCCGCCCCCAGTTTTTCCAAAGTTAAACAAAAGTGACTTAAGTTCTTCTCGAACAATATAATGAAGATGACAATAAGGATATTCAAATATTCAATCCTTGATTATGAAAAGAAAGACAAACACCAAAACAAATATAATTAATGCAGCATGATTCTACTATTTTTATGACTAGCTGAGAACTGCTCAATAATTTGTTGAAAATTCACTTGAAAATCACGTTCAATCGATAAAATACAAAGATTGCTTAATCGTTCATCTGCCATAGTGTTTCTTAAACGAGTCTTGATTAACTTCATCTTTGAAAATACACGCTCACACGTCGCAGATGATACCGGAATAGTAAGTGCTGCTTTAACCATTGACATCATATTGGGAAATGCTTCTCGTAATGGCTTTATTTCATGGTATAATTCAGTTACATTTGATAATTCTTTGTTTACTAACATTGATCTAAGAACTTGTATTTCATTAAATAAATGATTTTTGTCACAATTAATATGTATTGCTAAAGGCAATAAAAGATCATAGTAAACTTTCAACGTCAGTTTAAATGCAACAAGAAGACGATCTGTAGTGGCCTCGAGCGTTTGTTTGGCTATCGTTTGTCTGACACAGATAGTAGCAAATGAACTATTCCGAAATCACCGGCATTTAAAAGCTTTTGATTCCATTGCAACAGTAACCGCACACATTCAGACGTTGGGTATCGGTATACTACAGGTGGTGGCCAGTCTTATTGTATTTGTACATATTGTTAAATCAAGACTAAACCATTGTAATCGATCTGATAGCTGTCGAGTATTCATGAACCAATTGTCAAAATATTGAAATTTTTTTATTCCCGTTTTCGTTCTGATCCTATTTATAACACCTGTCGTACTTTACAGAAGTAGTGGCGATCCTTGTAAAAAAGCTGATATTGTCTACGAATCTCGTAGGAAAATTTTGTTCAAAGTGCTTTCATTCATACCCTATCTGTTTACATTTATGATCGTTATTTATGCCAACAATGTCTACAAGTCACAATTTTGGAATGTGCCTGTTTGCGGACGGTTATGTCGACGAATCTCGTCAACAAGAATAAATAGTCATATAGTAGCTGCAATTGAAACGCGACATTCTGGTCAAACCTATCAAGAAGATACTTCAGTATCTGTATTTTGGTAGTCATTCGTGAAGACAGTATTAGTATAAGTTTTGATAGAAATATTCACGGTCTAGTAATGAAAGAGAAAAATAAATGCAGTTTTCTTCTTTTTTCTTTACACGTTCTTACCTCATACAAAGAATACAGCAATAAAGCTGACACCTGCTCAACACTCTCCACTAGACAATGGACTAAAATATGTCTGTTGTAATAGCAGAGAAGCATTGAGGAGGTTGCCACAGGAGATAGAACAAATGAAGATGAAGATAATAGAAAAATATCGAGAGCATCCATTTAGACTATCAACTATGGTAGCAAAAATAGAAGAATTCGGTATTAAAACCTACCAAGACATTCGACAAACACTTTTAAATAATTTAACATCCGAATTGTCAAAGTCTAAAAATTGTAATATTGCTATGAAACGCTTAATAAAAAGTCAGGCAAAGCACGAAGTAATTTTTAGACAAACAGACAAGTCCAAGATGTTATATCTTGATACACCAAAAAGCTACGCAGAAAAATCAGTAGCATATATGACAAAAACAGATGCATACATCGAAGTGAAAGGTAAGCCGATTCAACAAATGATAACTGAGACAGATACATTGTTGAGACAACTTTTAGCGAAAAAACGGATATCACAATTTTTATACGAAAAACTGGGATCGAAAGACAGTGAGCTACCGCACTTATACTATAATCCTAAAGACCACAAACCAGATGTTCCTCTTAGGCCTACAGTAGCGGGCATAAAATCAGTAACAACCTCGATTTCAAACTTTCTAGACCAAACACTTAGATCAATTTTTGAATCACATACAAAGCATTATACCTTGCAAGATACTTTAACTTTTCTAAGACACTTGGATACATACAACATGACGAACAATACTTTGCTGGTAATATTCGACGTTACCGACCTGTACACTATGATGCCCCAAAAGGGAGCAGTGACATCGTTAGCATTTTCAGCTAGTAAACAATTGTACAAGATCAAAACACATCATTCGGCTATATCTATAGATACCTTTGCACGACTCACTCGCCATGTGCTAGAAACATCGTATTTTGCATTAGATGGCAAATATTATAAACAAATAAAAGGAGGAGCAATGGGTAGTGCAGTAACACAGGTATTAGCAGATATATACATGTACGAATGGGAAAAAGATTTTCTTGCGATACAGACAACAGAAAAACAATTATACTTACGATTTCGAGACGACGTATTTTTGACAACAGAATTATCGCACGACCAGATTGAACAGAGACTACTGTTTTACAACGATAAAGACACAAACATAAAATTGACGTACGAAATAGGCAACACAGCAAATTATTTGGACGTAACCATTCTTAAACGCACACCACGACCACGCACAACCATATGTTCTACCATTTGATAGTACACATCCCATACATATCAAAAAGAACATACCTTATGCAGCATACATCAGAACAGTGAGAAACTGCTCAGATGCACAAGACTGTAGATTGGAATTTGATGAAATTCGTTATCGACTTTTATTGAATAAACATCCGCCGAAATTCACTGATGCTCAGTTAAACAGACTTATAAAAGACCTGTATTATAATTCAATTGCAGAATTGCTACAGAATTATAATACAGTCAGACAAACACTTAGAGATACACAATGGAAACGTAAAGATTTGACAATCAGACAACGTTGAGTAGTTGACTGGAAAAATGACGTTCTCTTCCATTTTTCATACGCACCACAACAACATTTGTCACAAATCATCAAAAAGCACTGGGAACAAATATTCCAAAATACACCAGTGGCTGAATTTTCACCTCTAGTTGGTTTTCGATTAACACCGAATATTAAACAACTATTGGTAAAAAAGAAGCCATTGCAACACATATTAACCTAAACTATAAAACATTGTGAATCTAGACGAAGCCAAAAAACATTTATGGAGCAGAAGATCGTGAATCTACTGCTGTCCGTTAATTTGGGGCAAGTCAAGAGCCGTATACTAAAAATAGGCTTATTTACATTTTATCTACCACGTTATTCATTTATAGTATTTTATAGATAAAAATATGTAAACAAATCATAGTATATAATACTGCACAACCACTAGTCAACCATTCATTTTTATTCACTTCTTTAGACAACCTACAATAGAAAGCAACCACTAAAAACTAACAATGCTTTTTGGTAAAACAGAAACACACTCTCAAATGGAAACGCATTCGGATACTATAACGGACAAACATAATTGCCATGTCGTGGTTAATGCAACACTTGACGAGAAAACACGTCATTTGAAAGATCATTACCACGAACAAAATGGAAGAGTTCACAGCAATTGGCGTGACATCTTACTATTGTTTTGTTTTACACTTTTGGCATTAGTTCTAACCTATTTATTGGTAAAATTAATTGCCGGAAGAAAAATTAAAAATGTTACAAAGATGGCTCAAAGGTTTATCAAATGTATCAGACGACAAAATGGAGGCACCATCAGTTGTTTTCACAGTCCCGATGCCCCCAACAGGACCATACGGACAACCATATTTACCATCACTATACAAAGCAACAAATCTGTTCCAACAGCCACGAGTAAATGAACGACATGTAAATGAACGACGATCAAATGAACGTGGTTACCGTTCAAATAATGAAGACGAAGATCGTTAGAAACGTGCCACAACCCACGTGTTTCACACAAGCTGCTTGCTTTTTTATTTTTTATTTTTGGTATTACATCATCACCATCATCCGATTCTGAATTATCAACATTGGCATTTGCATACCAAACTCCAAGTATGATAATATTCAATGATGAATCAGGACACAAGATACATACTGTATTATTCTGCTCTAGACGCATATTTGTTCACTGCTTTTTTCTTTCTCTCTTATCTTCGAGTATATACAGTTACGTTTTACCAGATCCCACTTCTACATTTTTTTATTCATTTAACTGAAGAAGAATCGAAAACGTTCTTAAATTGAATAAAAATAGACTACTGCAAACGCGTAATTTTTCAGCGGTCTCGATCCAGATAATACCCCATCAAAGATTTGTTCTTGTAGATTGGATATCGGTAATTATTTTGATATTCTTGATGAACTTGATTATTTTATAACCCCCCCCCCCATAATAGAAGCCTCCCCCATATTAGAAGCCCCCCCCT